AATATTAAAATGTCTGATATTAGCGATATAGAAGACTCCTCCACACATATCGGAGAAAGCAGAAAATACAGTACAAAATATTTTACCGCAAAAATCTAGGGAAATACCAATACCTGAAGTAATACCATTAATTACAATTTTGTAGAATTTTTTATAGAAATACGAGTAATTACTGTTATTGTGTTCAATACCAATATAAATATAATATTTATAGGTCTTGATTATTTATCGGGTGTAGAAAAAATAGCGTATGCAACTCTCATGTAATGGTTATTAAAACACTCGCATAAACCATACGAAACTCGCCTTTGGCTCGTTTCGTATCCCGGTTAATGCTCGTGTATTAATAACCATCATTACATGATCGTTGCATAATATACTATTGTAATAAAAAAATAGTTTTAAAATATTCGAAATTGTTTTGCTATTAGTATCTAGACAACCAATAGTACATTGGATTGTATATTGTGTTGCATATGCCGACATTGTAATTATAAGTGCGTTTTAATCACCCGCTTCTGCTTCGGAACTGTCGGATTTCTTTTTTTAATCTGACAGGTTAAAACGACTAAACTCAAACAAATAATGATTGAGAGTGAAAGCAGGTAGAAATACGACCAAATCGGAGGCGTGCTTATTATTTTTGAGAGGGTACAAATATTTAAAATATTCATACAATTTCTTTTATTTATTTCATGAAAACTTTGCAATATCGTAATTTACCTAATCGTTGTAGTCATTAGTGGGGCTTTATGAAAACGGAGTAATAATTGTGGTAATTATAGTAGGAACCAAATAAATTAAGAATATTAATAAAAATCACAATATATATTTCAAATTAAAAATAAGAAAGATACCTAATCAGGGGTTGGTTTGGTGACAGAAACAATATTATCAATTTTACTATTTTAATAATGAATTTAACTTTATTTCACAAATTAACGTATATTTATATATTATGTCGCGGCCAAAGTCAGTAAGGAACTGTCTCTTAAGTTTCTTTTTGGGTTACACATACAGAAGTATTACTTAAATTTTAAATTAAAATCATAATGACGGATATTGCATATCCAATGCAATTGATATTTTATATATATATATATATATATATATATATATATATATATATATATATATATATATATATCTCCCGGTTTACCTGCAGTTCCTCGAAACTATCCAGCCTTACCCAAGAAACCCTAATTGGATTCGGCCAACATTAAAAGACATTATAAAGCTTAAATTACTATTTGATTGGTACTTAAATCATAAAAGTTTACACGCACCTATCATTTCGGAAATCCCTAAGTAAGATAATTAGTTTGGATATAACCTACAGGATTATGTTTTCTTGACCGCCAAACATAATAATAATAATAATAATAATAATGTTTATTTCAAATTTATGTAACAATGTACAAATTGATACAATAATAATAATTAAATAAATAAACATCTGTATCCTGCTGAGACATTGTTCATGTCTGTGTACAGGAATTAAAAATACAAATTTATATAATATGTAATTTCTAAATGGTAATAGTGAATGGTAAAAATAAAAATTATACCTAAATATATAGACTTCTTTTTGTGTACAAATTTTCTTCTAATCTTCAACCTCAGATTCGTCACTGCTGCTACCGCTATCATCAAAGTTAATTATGATTGGTTCAATACGGTTGTCTACGTCCCACATTTTTTGCTCTTCTTTTAAAACATGCTGAATGCATTTCTTCCAGTCTTCTGCAGAAACATTTTGAATGGCTTCTTGTAGGTAACGTTGCACGTCCACTAATTTAAATGTTCTGTTTGCTCGTGCCACATATCCTTTTACTTGCGCCCAGATTAATTCTATTGGGTTTAATTCGCAGTGGTACGGTGGTAACCTTAATACTGTAATTCCACGACTTAACGCCATTTCATCCACTGCGAATTTTTTATATTTGTCTCTGTGTAATTTTGTTAACTGAAGTAGTTCTGCCTTTAAACTATCTTTTTTATATTGGATGTTTTTATTAATTAACCATTCTTGAATTGCTCGTTTTTTCCATGATTGTTTCGGTAATGATTCTAAATACCGACTATGATATGGGGCATTGTCCATGACGACGACAGACCCAGGTTCCACAAGTTGAATGATGCCTTCAAACCATTTTTCAAACACCTCCGCATTCATCTCTTCATGATAGTCGCCTGTTTTCTTGGATTTAAATATTAATTCACCATTTGGTAAAAATCCACTGTCGCTTCCTATATGCGTAACTATCAGACGACTACCTTTTCCAGACGGCTGTTTTAACCCAGTTGACAAGCCTTCAATAAAGGCTTGTCGTGCACTTGTTATATGACCATCCTGCCATACTTTTTTGACCGTATGTCCTTGGTTAACCCACGTCTCATCCATGTAGTAAATTTTTTTTTAATATTCCGAAATTCCTCAATTTTTCGGAGATAATTTCTTCTCCATACTATTATTTCCTGACGTTCAATGAGAATGCTTTTCCTGTCGACTTTTCCGTACGTAAATTTCATTTAGTGTAAAATTGTCCTCAAAGTTTCTTTACTCATTTCTGGGACCAATTCATGATCGCTAACTGCCTCCAGAACTTTTTGCAAAGTGGGCAGCTCATTTCTGAAAAAGAAACTGTGAATAGTTGTGCGTATACTGTTTTTGGCTTCTTCATCAACTGTGATTTTTTTTCTTCCGCTACTAGTTTTTGGCGTTTGTACTTCCCCATGAATTTTGTTTTCTCTTAGTATTTTGTAAACTGATGATTTTGGTACACCCGTATAATCAGAGCACATATCAACTAATTTATCTTTTGTAATTGTGGAAGTTAATGATGTTGGAACGCCCGGTTGGTTATTCGGAGGTACATCCGTAGAATTACAGCACATATGCACTAAGTTATCTTTTGGTCGCTGATGATATCTTTCAAGACAGTGAAATACTCGAAGTACAATTTGTTTTTCACTTAGCGACCGAGACTTCGACCGTTTTACCTTTTTCGACGTTGAAGGCCCTTCAATGTCTTCCATTTTTTGCATAGTTTTAGAACGGTGTAGAAATATTATTATTTAATGTTTAAACACTTATTAGCACTAATATTTTCACCAACTGTTCTTACAACACGTCGATTACTTACTAACTTAACTGTAAAACTTACAATTCACACCGTATAATTCAAAACCCGATGTTACGCTCGTGGTTAGAAATACACTACTGAGAACGTCATCGACGAGATGGATTTTACGCGTAACAGACAAAGTCACAAATATCGCTCCGTACACCGATGCCATTAGTTGTAACAAATACTGAACAATCCATAAAATAATTAATTTTAAATGATCAAGAAATGTATAAGTATTACTCATTACTGATTTTTGTTATAATTAATATCTTTTATTAGTACTATGATTGTATATTATCTATAATTTGCCACAACTTACAACTCTACTACTTACTCTATTTTGATTCTGCTAAAAACTAGTAAGGTAAAATTGAGATATGACAACACGGTTCACTCTCAATCATTATTTGTTTGAGTATAAACCGACAATTTCGGAAGCAGAAGCGAATGATTAAAACGCACTTTAAGGGCCCTATTCAGTAATTTATCGTTTATGAACGACATCGTTAAGCTAACGACAGTTCAACCAACGACTTTTATAACGATAATTTTTGAAACTCTATTCAATAACAAAGTCGTTACGTTGTTTCTAGTTACCAAATCTGAACGATGATTTCTAGTAAGTTGGTATTATAATTTAGTGTTTTGTGATAAAAGAACGTATGTTGATGATTATACCGGGTGTTTAAATTAAAGTTTTACAGTTAAATATCGCCAAAAATATGCATTTTATAAAAAAAAGTATCAGACAAAAGTTTTATAGTTTTTTAGGGGAAACATTTTGGCCAAATTATTTTTTTTATAGCTGACCATAATATGGCCATATCGAGGTGGATTTTTTTTCATATTGGAAGCCTCTATTTTTTTACATAGGTATTCTTAGAGTTCATAAAAAAATAAGAAACTTCTAAATAAAACATTTTTTTATTGGATTTCTACTTATTGAGTAACACCCAAAATAAAACTATAAAACTTTGTTTTTTTTTTATAAAAGGCGGTATTTAACTGTAACCCTTTAATTTGAACACCCGGTATAGTTGACATTTTTTTAGGAACGTAAAATAAAAATTCAACCAGTAGATATATTCATTTGTTTTTCAGAATATATTAATTATTGTTCTTAACCTACAACACGATCAGGGGGTCGATTCTCGATTCGTAGGAATTCTGTTTCTCGCGGGCCATTTTTGCTGGTCGTATTGTATGTAGGGTTTATTTAAATGAGTATGGATATATTAAAAAAAAAACGAGAATTATTCCAAAAGAATACAAAAAAACAACTCGAGAAGAGTACAAGTTGTATTTATTGGATTTAAAAGACAAGCCAAATTTGATATCCTTTTTCCTGATTATCTTTTCTGTTTATGTCATCGGCTTCGACAACTCAGGCCATTAGCCTCGTTTTCTGTGTAGGTTACGGAGAAGTATTATTTAGAGGTACTTCCATAAAATAGGTTTTGTTACTGTTTCGCAGTGCTGCTTTAGGAACATCACTGTTTTAATAAGAATCCAATAACTTTGAATCAGATTTATTTTTAAAATAATTAAATAAATTAGAAAAAAATTCCTTACAAATTGTACTTGCTGTATTAGGTAGATGGCAATTTAGTTGTAAAATTTGTAAAAAAGTGCTTTTATTATTTAGAACACATCCTGATTCACAATAAAAAATGAGAGGGAATGCAAAAATCTCTATAACGACACTTCATATTATTAACGACAGCTCTTTAGCTATCGTTGATGAACGACAATTTTACAACCATATTTATCTATTTTCAACGACAATCGTTGTCTACTGAATAAGAAAAGTCGTCTGTGAACGATTATCGTCTATTAACGACGTCGTTCAGAGTTACTGAATAGACCCCTAAGTGTATTGGTACATGGTAGACAACCAGTTATACAGACACCTGTATTATGTGTTACATAATTCAGGTTTGTTTTTGATTAAAGGTGTGACATTTGGGATTACGTCTTAAACGTCAACCTTACTCATTTGACAAAAATAAACACAATTTAGTACTTTTAAAGAAAAACATCTGTAATAAACATGGGACTTTTTGGGAAGACACCTGAAAGGAATCCTAAAGATTTGGTAAAAAGCAATTTTATAAGTTTATTATAATACACGTAATAATTTTAATTCCGAAACAGGTTACAGAATGGAATCACAAACTTCGCAAAGAGGGATACCAATTAGATAGGCAAATTAAAGGTAAGTACTGCTAATTTTAAATACGTATACACTTCGAAACGTTTTATTTTAGCTATACAAAGAGAAGAGGAAAAAGTGAAAAGGTCTTTAAAAGATGCAGCGAAGAAAAACGACAAGGACACCTGCCTTATTTTGGCCAAGGAAATTATTAATTCAAGGAAAGCTGTTAATAAAATTTACACGTCGAAGGCTCACCTCAATTCTGTGATGTTGCAAATGAAGAATCAGTTAGGTTGGTACAAATCCAAATCATTTTTAAATAGTTATATGAAGAATTTTGTTTTGTCTAATCAAAAGAAAAATATATGATACAATACTTTTAATGACTTTGCGATACTGAGTGTCAGGTGTCTGTTAGAAATCAGTTACAGTGATATGAAAATAATAATAATATACTCTACTACAAAATTAACCAGACAGAAAAATATCGATAACAAAATCATTTCAATAAATAATGAATTATAAACATTTTTTACAAAATAAACTAAATTTTTAATTCATACAATCAAAAATCGCTTTGTTTAACACGTTGACTGACAGATAACTCAGTTTGTGTTCTTGCATGGCTAGGATGGCAATTACAATTTATCTCGTAGTTTATTTACTTTTCATGTTTGTACAGCTAAGATTAAATTTGTAATATATCAGTGTAAATATAGTTTAATAGTTATAAGTTACAATGATAAATAAGTTATAATAAAGTACAATAATGGAAACCAATTATATAATAAGCACCTAGGTGAGAACACCTGTATGTGCTGACAAAAATTAAAATTTTATTTTAATTATATTTAATAAATTATAAAGGAAATAAAAAAAAACTATTAAAAAAAATCCATGTATCAAGTTCGTTATTCTTGGAATATTCTGATAAACTTTGCATTATTTTGGAAAATGTATATTTTGCTAACTTTACAGAATTTTTTACATTTGTTTAATAATTTTATATTATATTTTTATATTTTATAGAACTTTGTCACTAGATAATTTACACTGTTTTTAAAAAACCCACTTTCTGGTTTTGGTACTTTAATGCACATGTTCGATGCAGTTCTAGTGTTATGTCTATGTTCTAAAGGGTTTTTTAAAAATTATTTTTTTTGTTATATAACAACATACTGCGTGAATATATAAACATCTAACATTGCTAATTTTTTCATTATATAAAGTTATGGTGGGACACAATCTATCTCTTTTATGTATTAACTTCAAGATTTTGTTTTGAATAACATTTAACTGATCTAATGTAGTTCCATACATGCCTCCCCATACTAAGATTCCATACCTTAGTATAGATTCTACTAGACTGTAGTATAATGTTATTAGTAGATCCTGGTTGAAAAATTGTTTTATAAGATAAAATTTATAAATCAGAAATAAGTTTTTTTGCTATATATATTATATGGCAGTCCCATTTTAAGTGCTGGTCTATAATTATACCTAAATATTTGAATCTACCATCTGCTTACAGACCTATCTCAATTATACCAATAGTAAGCAAAATTTTTGAAATAGTGTTAAAACAACGAATTATGAATTTTTTTGAAAGCAACAAGTTGCTAAGCCAAAATCAATTCAGTTACAGGGCAAACAAATCAACAATTAATGCAATATGTGATCTCTATGAAGCAGTTACGAATAGTTTTGAGGATCGTTCACATAGTACTGCCAGATTTGATGATCTTACGAGAGCCTTCGATACGGTTCATCATGACATTTTATTATTAAAATTAGAGAGATATGGAGTTGGAGGGACACCATTACAGCTTATTACCTCTTATTTGCAAAAAAGAACTCAATATGTTCAAATTGATGGGCAAACTTCGGGCAAGAATTCAGTACTGTATGGAGTTCCATAGGGTTCTATTCTCGGGCCCTTACTTTTTATCATTTACTTTAATGATTTGTCAATTAATCTAAGTAATACCATACAGGTGTATTATGCTGATGATTCAACATATAAAAATAAATCTGATACAATAGAAAGGCTAAATGAAGCAGAAGTTATGTCAAATAATTGGTTTGGTATCAATGGTCTTACATTAAACGAAGCAAAAACTCAGCAAATGTCATTTTCTATCATTGCTAAAAGTGAGGAACAGTTTAAACTTTTAGGAATATATATAGACCCGAAACTAAATTTTAAATATCACATTCAAAGTTTACTAAGTTGTTTAGCAAAAGCTACTTATGCAATAAGACAGCTAAAATTTCAATTATTGTACATTTAAAAATGGTCTACTTTTCATTATTTCATAACGTATGGGGTTATACTTTGGGAAAATACAAGCAACCAACTTAGGGTATTTATTGCACATCGAGTAGCTACAATAGTCGCTGCCAACCTATTTTTAAACAGTTGGGTATTTTACCACTACCATGTTGTTTTATTTTAGAGTATCTTTTATACATGAAAAAACAAATTGGTAATAATAATGTTATAAGACAGAGCTCTAAACATTCTTATTGCACCAGAGGAAATTATGATATATCTTTACCTAATTACAGATTAACCAAACTTCATGATTCTTATAGATATATCAGCATTAAACTGTACAATTCCCTACCTCAAGCTTATAAAAACTCATCTTTTAATTTATTTAAAATAAGAATTCGCAAATTTTTGTTGAGTCACTGCTTTTATTCCATTGACAAATTCTTATCACATGTGTCCATCTGTAGATGTGAGTAATGTGTAAACCTTTTTGGTGAATATACCTTTTTAATTTTTATCGTTTAAGTATGTTTTAATATGTTATGTGTATCTATATATTTTTTTTGTTTATATTTTTCTAAATTGTAACTGTATTTTCTGTATCTATACCTTTTTTTACACTTTTAACATTGACAAATGTAAAATATTTATTTTTATTTTACATCAATAAATATCTATCTATCTATCATAATAAATGTACTTATAATACCGTAGCGACGTTGAGAGTGTCAGGCGCCCTCCAGAAGTCTACAGAGGTGATGCAAGCGATGCAGCGACTCGTTAGAGTGCCCGAGGTAGCCCAAACAATGCAAGACATGTCGAAAGAGATGATGAAGGCGGGTATAATCGAAGAAATGTTGGACGAAACCATGGAAGACCTTGATTGTAAGTTGTTTTTTTTTTCTCATTTTCTTTTGCTTAAATTTCTTCATTAAAGATTCCGAGGAAATGGAGGAGGCGGCGCAGACGGAGATCGACAAAGTTTTGTTCGAGATAACGGAGGGAAAGATAGGAGAAGCCCCTCTGCCGCCTCAAGACGCCGCAGAGAAAGTATCGCCGTTACCAGCGACCTCTGTGGAGGAACCGGAAGAGGAGGACGAAGAAGAGATTACGGAAATGCAGAGTCGATTAGCGGCGCTCAAATCCTAAAGAATTTTGATTGAGACACAATTGCTTTTGATTAATAAAATAAATAATGCTGAAAATGAAATTTGAAAAGGTAAATTTCTGGATTTTTATGGATGTTGTTGGTAAAGGAGGATCAGCTGGTTATGGAAGTAAGAGTGAAAAACGTTTATTTAATTTTTTTATTTATTGTCATTTTGATTAAACTTTTATTTTGAAAAATTTATTAGTTTTGAATTATGGATGTTGATTATTAGGTATGAAACACTTTTTTTTAATTATGGTTAAAAATAGGAACAAGTTGCGTATTTCTAAGTTCATTAAAATGATGTTTCAATATTCAAAAATCAAGTGGAGGTTATTCATAATGAGTTATTATTTTTTTAAATTGTCCAATTATTTTATGGTTAATAACATAAAGTTTAATTATTTTTTAAAAGATCTTACAAAATATAGTACAGATGAACTATTTACCTATTGGAGAATTTTTTGATTAAAAATTTCAAAAACTAAATAGGTACATTTGAACTAATTAAAATAAAAATAGAAAACTATGAGGTAGAGATAAAATATATCTCTAATCGGTTATTTATGAGATAAAAATTGTAAAAGAAATACATTTGAACTACTCATTAACAATGTTTTTATTTAAATACAAATGTCAAATTACTTTTAGCCACTGTTTTTGGCTTAGAATTGAAAAATTTAGAAGAAGATATTTGATCTATTCCTAAAAGAACTTTTATTTAAGAGAAAACGAAACCGTGCAGATGAACTACTTATCTAATCAACTATTTTTTGGTCTTATAAAAGCTCGAATATTTAGCGGTCATATGAACTACTCATGTTATCGACCATCTTTGAAATCAAAGAATTCTGTTTAAACAAAGAAAACGAAACGACACCGATGAACTAATTGAATTAATTATTTTTGGTAAAATATTTAGGTACATTTGAACTAATCGTGACAAAAGTTTTTTTATCTCATAAATACAAAATGTTGCAGTACATATGAACTACCCACTTTGTCGACTATCTTTGTAATCGAATTGAAAAATATGACAAGATACATTTGAACCACTCAAAGAAATTTTTATTAAAAAAATTGAATGAAACAATTACGTGGTATATAACTTTTTATACAATTTACAAAAATCGTTTGAGATACATTTGAACTACTAAAAAGTGTTTGTTTTAACAAAAGAAAACGATGCAGATGAACTATTTAATCGATTATTTTTTTAGTAAAAAATATTTTGGTACATTTGAACTACTCATTAAAAAAGTTTTTTTCATCTCATAAATGTTACGGTACATTTGAACTACCCGTGTTTAAACAAGAAACATTTAAACTACTCAACTAATTTTTATATTAAAAAAATAATTAGACAATTATGCAATACATACTTACATATTCATTTTTATTCAATTGCCTATTTTTAATTATAAATATCCAAAAATCGGTAAGATACATTTGAACTACTAAAAAGTGTTTGTTTAAACAAAAGAAAACGATGCAGAGAAACTATTTATTTAATCGATTATTTTTTGGTAAAAAATATTTTGGTACATTTGAGCTACTCGTTACAAAAGTTTTTTATCTCGTAAATGTTGCGGTACATATAAACTACACATGTTGCCGATTATTTTTGAAATTAAATTGTAATACATACTAAGATGCATTCGAACTACTCAAATGTTTATTTAAAAAAAGTTGGGAATTTAATTTTTTAATATAAAAATTGTTTGCTTAAACAAAAAAGTTTGTATCTCGTAAATACTCGAAAATGTTGCTGTACGTATGAACTGTCCACATTTTCCGTCATTTTTGAAATCAGACTTTTTTTAAAATTATAACTATCCAAAAATTGGTGAGATACTTTTGAACTACTAAAAAATGTGTTTAAACAAAAGAAAACGGTGCGGCTGAACTGTATGTTTAGTTAATCGATTATTTTTTGTAAAAAATATTTTGGTATATTTGAACTACTCGATACAAAAGATTTTTTTATGTCATAAATGTTGCAGTACATATGAACTACACATGTTGCCGATTATCTTTGAAAGTTAATTTAAAAATGTACCATGATACGTTGGAACTACTCAAAGAATGTTTATTTAAAATAGTTGGGAAAATTACGTGGTACATATTTAATTTTTTGTCCAATTGACTATTTTTAAATATAAAAATCTAAAAATTGTTTTCATTAACAAAAGAAACCGAAACGATGCAGATGAACTACATTTATTCTATATTTTGGTAAAAAAATAAATATTTAGGGGCATTTGAACTACTCTGTACAAAAAGTTTTTATCTCATAAATACTCAAAGATGTTGTGGTACGTATGAACTACCCACATTTTCGGCCTTTTTTGGAATCAAATTGAAAAACATGAAAGATACATTTAAACTACTCAATTAATTTTTATTAAAAAAAAAGAGTTATGTAGTATTTATATATTAATTCGCAAATACTTGAAAATGTTCTGGTTCATATGAACTACCCATGTTGTCGGTAATTTTTTACGTCAAATTGAAAAATATAAAAGATACATTTGAACTACAACGAATTTTTATAAAAAAAAAAAAAAAAAAAAAAAAAAAAAAAATGGGAAAATTATGTGGTACTTACATATTAATTTTTTATTCAATTGACAATTTTTAATTATAAATATCCAAAAATTGGTGAGATACCTCTGAACTACTAAAAAGAGTTTGTTTAAACAAACTGATTATTTTATAAAAATGCCAATTTATTAACAAACCATTTTCTATTGCAAATATACAAAATAAATAAGATGCATTTGAACTATTATTTTTTTATATATATAAATAAAACAACGAAAGAGTCTTTAAAATGCGCAACCTGTTACTATTTGACCAAGTGTAAGGAAATAAATATGGTAAGGTTATTTTAAATTTTCTTCATGTTATGTATCTTAGGACATCCTGTATATGACGAAATCTAGAAATTTACAAACATTTAACTTCCACTACTAACGACGCCTTCATAGTAAATTTTTGACAATTTTTAAAGCAGATATAACGTTTCTAAAATGTTTGTATTATTTAGGATACTTAAAATTAGTTTATTTATGCTTCAGATGGATCTGAAGAAATCCCAGAAAAAATGTACCGCCATTTTTGTCCTAATTAGGATAGGTTGTTTCTTTAGTCCTTCTAGCAATTCAAAAAAGAATTAATATGCTGTCTGAACCAATAAAACTTGGAACAACATTCTACTGGTAATTTTGGAATTGTTATATATTTTTTGAAAGCAAGGTATTGTCAATTTTATAAATGTTAAAAAAATGCTTATTGGGTAGCTAGAAAAAAAAATTAAATTTAGTTCTTAAATATTATTTCCTCTAGTATTCACAGATACCTCTTAAAATAGACACAGCACTGATCGTTTTGAGTTAATAATACCAGGTTTTTGGTTTTATTTTTATTCAAAACTGAAATAAAATGGTGCTAGTGTCCGTTATTGAACATATTTCCTTATTTTCTATTAATTTTTTAATATATTAAAATATATTTATTAATTACTTATTAATTAAGTGTTGGATGCACTATTTTTGTAAAAAGATAATTAAAAATGTACCAAAAAAATGTACTTATAGTTCGTTATTGTATAGTTTTAAAAATGGCTGTTATTTTTTGCTAATATTGCTTTAAATTTATATGTGTATAGAAATAAAAATATAACATTTATTTTAAGTTCTTGCTGTTTTATTACTTTATTCACGTTCTCCCTAAATAATTCTTTACCTTTAAATAACAAAAATAATATTACTATTTAATACTGTACATCCAGATATTTAACTTATAAAACATCTATGAATAAGTAGGATTGCTAACATCATTTTGGACCCAGAGTCTCCAGTTTTGGTGATCATTCTCCAGGCTACAAGCTTACATTAAAACCACAAAACTGAAGTAAACTTAGCTTTTTTTTTTGAGTGACTAATGATTCGAAAAGTAAAATCTTTTGTGTATTTTTGCTCGGGGTCAGTGCAATGTTTGCAACCCTATGAATAACAAAATATCACCACACATTAAAATTTCCATATATAGCAGCTCTTAAGATACACTAAAACCACGTAAATGTAAAATCGGTCAGGCTCTCTGCGACCTTCAGCGCCTTTTCTTCTTTTCTTGCTTCCGGGACCTGTGGTAAGGCCTTCTAGGTGTATTTTGTGGTGTGCTTTGTTCGGAACTTTCGTCGTCGCTATCAATCTAAACAAAGTACAAATTTAACGATTAAACTTTCGAAACCGTGTGAATACTTACTCTGGAGCCCCAAGAAATGTTGTCTTCGGGTGAATCGGAAATGAAAATGCAGGCCGCTAGACAGACTATTTGGAAAATCGCTCCTAAATATAGACCGTAACGTACTATGGTGGCCGTCATGTCTTCTACGCCTATATTAATTGCGGTATTCATTTTGTATAACTGTGTTTTTTGTTTTAATCAATCCATAAAATTACAATGTTTTTCTAAATTCAAACAAATCAATATTTTGGTTAGGAAAATTGACAGTTGACGTTTAATTTGAGTTACTGGACAGCAGTGTTGCCAGATCATAATATTTTTTTTAAGTAAAATTCGTAGCCAAATGAGTTGCCTAATTAAAGGGGCAAAAAAATTTACTTTGCAGTGGCTTCTCTTCCGATCTTATAGCGTTTTCGATTCCAGTGCTCGGCTTGCTCTGAGAGCATACGAAAGGTGGGAGATATGTCGATACCAGTTATTTTTCACTCTAAAAAGTAACCGGTATTGATATATCGCTTTTATGTGCACTACCCGCAGGCAGGGCAGTGGAATCGAAAACGTTATTAATTATACGTATTTTACACTGTTTTGACTCATTAGAATGTTACGACTATAAAAATTAACAACCAAATCATATTAACAATAGAAAATCAAACACCAATAAGTATTATTTAAAAAATAGGTTATTAAGAAATGGGACATCTTTGAAAATAAATATTCATATTACATGAAAATTGTCAACAATACTAACCGTGAAACCGTGGAAAGCTATTTCTTTGGTTGATTATACAGTAAACAGTAAAAACCAGCCAGAAAACCACAATTTTTAATTTTAACATACCATAGCGTACACTGCATGGTATATATAACTCGAAACACAACGACACAACACCACAGAACAGAAGAAATGAACGCAGAGGATTCCCTAGAAATTCCCAGGAAAGTTATAAAAAAACAGCTGGTTGCCCGCTACGTTATGTTCAAAAAAGTTGACAGGGCTTGTCCAAAGAGTGCACAAGTCGCGTGTATCGCTTTGATTTTTATTACTTTTGAATTTTTTTTATTTATAATGGGATTATAATTTGAAAAAATCTCAAAAAGCGGATAATAGAAAATAATACTGAAAACTGGTTCTTTTTCAGTAGAATTCATACTAGACCAATAGACATGACAACAGTGCTGGACAGGTAAGTGGTTAAAAACAAGGTAAAGGATTCTGAAAAAAAAAAAAAAAAAAAAAATTGGCAAACTGGCACATGTCTATAGAAATCTACTATTAATTAGTGCTCGTTTTGACGATACATTATAGATGGTGCTACCGGCAAAGAAGTATGTCTACCATTTTATGTCGTCCACATTTTGAAAAAAAAAAAGGTGGTTATGGAAAGGAAGTTTATTTTTACGTTTTTCTCTTTCTTAGTGACTTTACATTGAATTACTTTATAAATTTCACACATTTCATTTTAATTTCTTGTATCTATAAGACATACTATGCATATTTTCAACTAAATCGAAATGTCAAAATCTTGGACATTTTTAAAAAATAAATAAAGAATTTAGATTTTCATCAACAAACCAATTGAAATATCACAGAACTGATTATATTTTTTGATTCTACAAGGTATTGTAGGAATATGATGAGTGTAGCATAGGCAACCAGTATCACACATGTGTGTATATCATGTTGCCTATATCTTAATTATTAGAGTTAGTTGTATGCGCAGGTCAGCGCCACTGCAATGGCGGTCCTTCGTTGTTCATGTACATGTCATGCGGTCTCGCTGTTAAGTGAAGATATATTCGTTGTATCGATTGGAATAAACTCAGTTTGCTACGTTATTATCATGTTTTATTATAATTTTATATTATTTCTTACAGTATTCTCTATTAGAATGTATATTTTCAACTACATCGAAAATCCCAGATTCCTCCTCAAAAAAAAAATTGCACATTTTGTCAAATTTTACGAATACGGACCATTTTAAGAAAATTATTTATACAGGGTGGCTCACGCTCAACGGGACGGAGCTTTATGGGAAAACGACCAAAGATATAAAAAATTCGTTTGGGAGAAATACGTAGATTACAGACGGCTACAATTTAAAATTTGTTAGATGTATACAGGATGTCCCACATAAGAGAAAATATACAGTTATATTATTTTTAATGGAACACCCTGTTTTTTATTTTAGAATTAAAAACTACATCAAAAATAATGTCAGTTAACTAAAGGTTCCCTATTACTATTATTATTAGTTTTCGATTTATTTGAATTTTTAAGGAAAAAAAGTCTCCCAGAAATTAATTGTTTACTCTTGTTTGAATAATTTTTAATGAACTAATTTTTTTTTCTTATGTGGGACATCCTGTATACATCTAACAAATTTTAAATTGTAGCCGTCTGTAACCTACGTATTCCTCCCAAACGAATTTTTTATATCTTTAGTCGTTTTCCCATAAAGCTCCGTCCCGTTGAGCCTGAGCCACCCTGTATAACAAAAAATATCGAGAATAACATTACAACCAACTTTTAATTGAAGATTTTTTTCTTCTAACATAAATAACGATTATATTCCATAAAGTACCCACTTATATGTTCCAACTATGTCCAAAATTTAATCAGTTCACCGCAGAACAGATCAAATCTTAAATTTAAAATTTGGTGTTTTTTTTCTTTATTCGTTTTTGAGTTATCTTCAAAATTCGAAATTTGCACATTTTCTTAAATATCTCGAATACGGTCCATTTTAGAGAAATTATGTATAGGACAAGAATTATAGAGAATGACATCACACACAACTCTTATTTGATAAATTTTCTCAGAAATTCGAGTTTTGCACTTTCTATCAATTTTCTCGAATACGGACCATTTTAGGAAAATTTTGTATGGGACAAAAATGATAGAGAATAATATTACAAGTAACTTTTATTTGAAGAATGTTCTTCTCCAAGCGTAAATAACAGATATATTCTATAAAGTAGAGCCATCATGAGCCATCGAGTATATAGATATACACTCACAGACAGAATCAAAAAAATAGTCAAAACGGATTCAGGGGACCCCAAAACGTAAAAAAAAACCATCAAAAACTCGAGATCGAAAAAGTTATATGATTGTTGTTAGTCCAATAGAGGGGTCAGGTCCATGATTATGCTGGTGCTATCTTTAACATTCATACAAAATAAAAAACAAAATACTAGCGCTGTTTTAATTATTATGATTTTTTTTTATAATTTAAAAAAAAACTGTTCTTTTTTAGAAAGAAAAAACTATTTTTTTTATATCACTACTGTAACTGTAACTTTTTACTTTCCTATCTGTATACAGATGTAAGGAAAGTATAGAAATCATGATTTTTTTCGACCTCGAGTTTTCGACGGATTTTTACGTTTTGAGGTCCCCTGAATCCGTTTTGACTATTTTCGCGATGATGTCTGCGTGTGTGTGTGTGTGTGCGTGCGTGTGTTTTTGTGTGTGTGTGCGTGGGTGCGTGCGTGCGCGTGCTGTGTGTGTCGCATAACTCATGAACCGATACACAGAAAAACACCAAATTTTAAACTTAAGCTTTTTTCCAGCGTCCAATGAACTGATTAGATTTTGGGCAGAGTCGGAACATTTGGGGGGGTACTTTATAGGTGGTCATTTTTATATTTTATGGAATATATCTGTTATTTACAGGTGGAGAAGAAAATATTTCAAATAAAAGTTACTTCTAATATTATCTATAATTTTTGCTTTATGTCAAAATTTCTAGAAATGGTCCGTATTCGAGAAATTTGACAAAATCTGCAAAACTCTGATTTTTATGAAAATTGTTGAACTAAAAGTTGTTTGCGATATCGGTCTCTATAATTTTTGTTTATACATAATGTTTCTAAAATGGACCGTAATGGAAAAATTGTAGGAAAAGTGCTAAATTTAAATTTTTCAGTATTTTCGTTTTCAATGAATATCTATAGAAAAATGTTTCGAGGTAGAAGTATGTGGAAAATGTATATATTTAGTTAACTAAAGAAATTTTAGAAAATATTTACAAAAATGTGCCATCAGGACTTCACTTGTAACACCCTGTATCTCGAAAACGAAACGTTTTCGGAACTATGTTTATATGAACTTTTACTTCTATTTTAGGATGTAGATTACGCTGGAGAAGAAAATTCTTCAAATAAAAGTTTTGTCATTATATATAATTTACCTAAAATAGACATCGTTTTATCGAAACTAAAAATGCGAAATATCTTGTTTTTGCAGTAATCTGACTAATATACATCAATCTTCTGAATCTGTGAGACATTCTGTACGTTTTTAACTAATTACCCAAAATAAGTAATCGCATGCATAGGTATACTTATTAAATAAAAAAGATTTTGAATTCTAAACGCCAAGTTCACGCGCATGCGTCTCTCCTCAACACGATCGGTGATAACTTTCTGCGAATCCACTTGTTGACATTACTATTTGAATCTGTCATTTGAGATAGCCTATAAGTCATAAATTTGACATGTTCCAAAAATGGCAGATTCCTATTGCTAACACTTTATTTATTTATTTATTTTGTTTGGAACACAAACAGGACATACCCAAAAAAGTGTTCCCAATGCTTCTTACATAATGGGTTTAAACTAAACAACTTTAACCTAATTAATAACAAAATATTATTACACTAGATACGAAATAAATGTGAAATAAGAAATAAGAGAACAGAAAAAATACTAAAGTTATTGCATTATAACAGAAATTCAAAAATTTTACATTAAAAAATATGTCGTAATTTAAGATTTTAAGGTACACTAGACAAAAAGTGTTTTTTTAAGCAATTTTTGAATGCACTTTCGGAAATAGAAAAAATATCAACTTCTAGTACGTTCATTATTGTGTCGAGAGTTTTGATACACCTATGTAAAGGAGAATTTTTAAAGTAATTAGTATTACTTGTATCTGAGTAAAACAAATTATTGCTTCGGGTATTATAAAAAGAAACGTTATAATTAATCATGCTATTAATGGGAATTGAATTTACTAAATTGTTACAAACTTTATATGTAAAAGTAATGTCTGTAATTTTCCTTCTGTTATAAAGTGGAATTAGGTTCATTTTATGTTGCGTAAATGTTAAGTCTTCTGTATATTGTGAAAGGGTTTTTTTATGAACAAATTTTATAAATTTATATTGTATATTTTCCAAACAGTTAATGTAGACATTATATTGCGGATTCCAAATAACCGAACCATAGCTTAATACGCTATTAACGTATGCCATATAAAGTGAACGAAGAGTGTTTA